AGTCCGCACCAGCAAGAAATAAATTCATATTTTAAGTCAGCATTCTTCTGGTTTTACAGCATAAAACCAGACTACTTCGACACTTGCACACCTACTTCCTCTATTAATTATCCATTTTTCTTCTGTAGGTATATTCAAGTATCTCCTATCCAAAAACAGAAACAAAAAACAAACAAACAAAAAAAACCTTTCCTTGAGCCTACTGTTTCTCAAATTATCATCTATCTCCCTCTCACTTCTGGAAGGAAAATCTATATTTGCTACCTCCGCTTTCTCAGCACCCACTCACTCCTTAGTTCCTGGGGATCTGGCTTCTTTTATCGCCATTCTTTGGAAATTATTATATTTTTTTTAAGATCAATTATCTACTTGCTAACCCACACTCAATCCTGCCGTCTCTGGTCAAGTGATTTTCATTTCTTTTTATGACCACAGACCCATTTGAAAATTAGATAAAAATTATGGATCTTATTCTCAGAAAAATAACGTATACATGCATACAAACTTTTCATAAATGTCAAAATTTTTGTTTGTTTGTTTTGTTTTATTATCATGCTCTCCCAAAGCCCACCCATAAATAGCCCAATCATCTCTGTGCTTTGGGTAAAGAATTTTGCTCTGGTATATACTTAAGAAAGAAACAGAAAGCAAAGAAGTTTATTCATTCCCATAAAAAAGTCACATGGAGTATTCTTTCACTTTCCCATATATTTTTCTATGTCACCCTAAAGTTTTGTCTCCTCTATATTTTTTGCACTTCTGTAAACGGTAATGTAATTTGCATTGCCATCTATTCCTCTCTCTCTCTCTCTCTCTCTCTCTCTCTCTCTCTCTCTCTCATCTCTCTTCATTTGATTATGGAGTACTTGCAGAGTAAAAAACAACAGTGTGTTTCTTATACCAAAGGAAATGACAGCATAGCTGGGAAAGAGGCATGTTTACATTAAAACTTGAGTAATAAGAATATGAATAATTGGGAGACACATTGAACTATTTCTAAGGAAGGGTCAGACACTGCTTTTTATAAGGTAGGGAGTGTAAACTGAACCTTGAAAGATGAGCTGGTGTTTTGTTTTCTATTAATTTCAGATGGGAAGGGAAAGGGAGAGAGAGAGAGAAACATCAATAATGAGAGAGAATCTTTGATTGGCTGCCTCCTGGATGCTCCACATCGGGGATCAAGCCCCCAACCTAGGCATATGCTCTGACCTGGAATTGAACTGTGACCTGGTTCATAGGTCTTCGCTCAACCAACTGAGCCACAACGGCCGAGCTGGGCTGGGTATTTGATATGTAGATAGGAAAAATGATATGACAACTAGAATAGGAAGCATTGTGTGAGCAACAAATAATATGTAAATACTAGAGGCCCAATGCACAAAATTTGTGCAAGGAGCGTGGCACTCGGTGGTTGCCTCAACCCTTGCAGCCCTGACTTCATCTGGAAGGTTGTCCGGAAGGATGTCCAGCTGTCCAGTCTAATTAGCCTACTATGCTTTTATTATTATAGATAAATGAAATGTTGAAGTAGGTTCCACATGGATTGACCAGAGAGAACACAAAGTTAGATAAAAACAGAATAGTCAGCTGGGGCCAGTCTTATGTTAGTCTTGAGTACCAGGTTAGAATGTCTGGGCATTAGTTTGTGGGCGATTTTAAGAGGGAGACACTGAATAAATATTTTTGAGCAAAGGAATGACAGCATCAAGTGATCTTTTAGGAGATTAAAAGATCTCCTATATCACATGATCTCTCATTTGTGGAATATAATGAACAACATAAACCGATGAACAAAAATAGATCCACAGACAGAGAAACATTAATCATAACTTCAAACCTCAGGGAAGCTAGGGGATGGTGGGGGTAAGGGGAAGAGGTCAACCTAAAAACTTCTATGCATGCATATAAGCCTAATCAATGGACACAGACAACAGGGGTGGGGAAATGAATGAGAGGTGGGGGGTAATGAGAGAATAAGGACACATATGTAATACCTTAATCAATAAAGAAATTAAAAATAAAAAAAAAGATCTCCTAAAGGCTAGAAGAAGAGTTAGGAGACTGTCTCCAACAACCCATAATCTGAACGTGTGAGCTGCAGAATTGAACTGCTTGAGGAGAGTGACATTAGCAACAACAGCAGAACTGACGTAGCAGGCGTGAGGACTCCTGGCTTGGATAGCCCTTCAGCTGGGAGAATGTGGTTAGCTAATAACAGCTCTGGCTGCAGCACCTCCGGGTCCTACCACAGCAGCATTCAAGCTGTGGCCACCGTCCTCCCGGGACAACCGCCTATGACTGAGCGTGGCCATGTGACTCGGGTCTAGCCATTTCTGTCTGGCAGGACTTCTCTACCAGGCAGCCTTTCCCTCGGAGCTTCCCATTGGCTCAGACTTCCCTAGACCTCTATCAGAGTCTGAGGCTCTCCCTGTCCAATCCTGTTCCCTCCCTTTTCTTCCACACGTGGCCGGTCAGCATCGGGGTCTGCAGAGCTTTCCCGAATTAATCCTCCTTCCTCCCCCTTTGCCTCTCATAGGTGTCCTACCACACTCCCCCCAACTCCTAGGGGGCGGGGAGGATCTTTGGAAATACAAAAAATTACACATTGTTCAAGTAAAAATTAAAGTGATAGCCTGAACTGTGTCTAATAAAGGCATTTCTAATTTTATTTCATGGGCCAGAAAACTAAGAAATGTGCTAATAGTGATTTTGGGATTAAGAACAACACCAAGGTCACACTGCAGATTTGAATGAGATTTCTGTATCCGGAAATCTTTTCTCTGGTTTAACTTGAGATTAAGTACAAGATGAAAGTAGCTATTTGGACATATCTTTATTTAGAGAAACTGATTTATTTCAAAGAGAACATTTTCATCTCAAGTACTGCAGCTGGGGTTCAGCAAATATGAGAGCCAGTGTAGATGCTAGAACTATGTCTTTCAGATGGCAAAGATCCCTGGAGCTTCTCTGAGATATACTTTATGTCTGTGTTCACGAGACACTTCTGCAAAAATGGAAAGATGCTCCTGTTGTGGCAGTGTTGAAAAAATATATATGAATATAAAAAGGACTGTCTCAAAATACACCAACTCTATATTCAGAATTTAACGGAAACACTAGATGACAGACTAACACTATCAGCTAAACACAACCACTCTTCCTGTTTTGTTTGGTGGGGGGCTTATAGTGCAATGTTAGAAGATATTTTGTGTGTGCATTAGGCTGGGGGAGAGTAATTGGTCACTGAGTTTCAGTTGTTCAGGGGTAGAGTAACTTGGGAATGGAACTGTTACACTAAAGTAGCTTTGAGCTAATATGTAACTATTTGGTTAAATGTCTAGTCATTTCATTCTTATTTTTAACTGCTACCCAAGGCAACAGTTTCCTTGAAACATTTCAATAATATAAATTCAAATTGTTGCCTCTCAGTCGTTAACCCCTGCCTAGCATTGCCTCTCCCCTGCCAGCTTTCTACTTCACACATTTGCTGTCACAAGTTCTTTTCCTCCTTGGTCTACAAACTCCCAATTTTCTACTTTTTCCTCACACTATTTGTATCTTTCTCACAAACCTCTCCTCTCAACTGAGGACACTGCCTCATACTTCCTTCATAAAACAGAAGCCATCACAAGTTAGCTCATCATCCCATTCCCAAATCTATAATTCCATCTGCATCTGTACATTTTTTCCTTCTTCTCTCCCTTTTAATGAAGGAAGCGTCTCTTCTCCCATAATGTTATTCCTGCTCTGAATCCAATTCCTCTTTCTCCACATCATTATCTCTCCCTTCCTAATAAGTTATTCTTTTTATTTTATTTTTAAATATTTTTATTGATTTCAGAGAGGAAAGGAGAGGGAAAGAGAGATAGAAACATAAATGATGGGAATCATTGATCTGTTGCCTCCTGCATGCCCCACCATGGGGACTGAGCCTGCAACCCGGCCATGTGCCCTAACAGGTAATTAAACCATGATCTCCTGTTTTATAGGTTGACACTTAACCACTGAGCCACACTAGCTGGGCTGATAAATTATTCTGATCCCAAACAAACATGTGTTAGTATTTCTCATCTATTTAAAAAAAAAAAATGTTTTCTTGCCCTGGCTGGTTTGGCTCAGGGAATAGGGAGTTGGCCTGTGGACTGAAGGGTCTTGGGTTCAATTCCAGTCGGGGGCACATGCCAGGGTTGTGGGCTCAGGCCCTGGTGGGGGGCATGCAGGAGGCAGCCGATTGGTGTTTCTCTCTCATCATTGATATTTCTATCATTGATGTTTCTATCTCTCTCTCCCTTTCCCTTCCTGAAATAAAAAAAAAAAAAATCAATAAAAACATATTTTAAAAAATGGTTTCTTGAGTTATAATATCTTCAAGCTACATTTTGCTTTCTCTCACAGAAAACTTCTTGACTTCTTGAAATATCCTCTTTATTCATGCTCTACACTCCCTCACCAAGTCACTTTTTTTTTTTTAATTTTATTTTATTTATTTATTTTTTTTAAAAAATCCTCACTGGAAGGTATGTTTTTACTGATTTTAGTAAGGGGGGAATGGGGGAGGGCGAGGAGGGATGAAGGGAGGGAGGGAGGAAGAGAAAGAGAGAGGTGTATAAGAGAAACTTCAATCCATTGCCTCTTGTATGAGTCCCCATTGGGTATGGAACCTGCAGCCTAGGTATGTGGCCTGACTAAGAATCGAACCAGCAACATTTAGGTGCATGCAATGTAGCTCCAACCAACTGAGCTACACCAGCCAGGGCACCAAGTCACTCTTGAATCCTCCCCAATCCGGTTTCCTTATCCTGCCATGTACCTGAAATTGTGCCTGCCGCGGTCAACAACGATCTCTACAGGGTAAGGCAAAAGTCAGTTTACAGTTGTGAGTATGCAAAACACAGTTTATTCTTGTCATTATTTATTATTTTATCATTCTCCATATGAGCAATTGTAAATCTACTTTTGCCCCAACCTGTATAATCAAAATCCATTGGCCACATCCTTACCTTACTTGATTCTTCAGCAGCATCTCTCTCCCTGGACACGTTCTCCACTCAGCTTCTGTGCTGCCACCTGCGCAGAATAGTGAAGACAGCAGGCCTGAGATGGTTATCCTTCAAAGGAGCTTACAACACTGGCCCTGCACTAGCATTTGGGAACTTGACTTTCAGCAGTGTTCCCATGGTTCCCTAACAGAATGATGGCTCACTGTGCCTAGACCCATGCTCAGCAAACTGCGACTCGTGAGCCACATACGGCTCTTTGGCCCCTTGAGTGTGGCTCTTCCACAAAAATACCACGGCCTAGGCGAGTCTATTTTGAAGAAATGGCGTTAGAAGAAGTTTAAGTTTAAAAAATGTGGCTCTCAAAAGAAATTTCCATCGTTGTACTGTTGATATTTGGCTCTGTTGACTAATGAGTTTGCCGACCACCGTGCCCAGGCTATATAAACAGTGTGGTTTATGCTAAACACCTGCTTTCCTTCGGGGAACCTGGACTTTTGCAGGCAGAGGGTGCCTACACGATCGGACCCCAGTAAACAATATTGGGCGCCGTGTTTCCAATGGGCCGCCCTCAGCAGAAACATCACAAACATGTTGCTGGGCATCTTCATTTCTGGGGGAAGAGCATGCTCTGCGTGGCCGCTCCCTGGAGCAAGAAGATGTAAGGAAGCTGCCATGGATTCCTCCCGATTCCAGCTCTGTTTTCCCTTCCAGGCCAGAGCTGTGTGTTACTCCATCACTGTGACCCATCTTACTGGGAGTACAATTACATGCTCATTCCAGCGAGCCTCCGAGAGACTGTCTGTACGGAGAGCACTAACCTGCCCTGGTTTTCCTTCTCTCTTGCTCCTTTGTTGGTTTCTCCTGCTCTGTCCCACTTGGAGGCCTCAAGGCTTTACTGTCCTCTCTTCTTTATACTTCTTTTCAGATCTAATTTAGTCCCTTCACGTTAAATATAATATCATCTACATGCTGACAACTTCCAAATTTCTATCTCCACTAACTCTAAAAGCTGAAATCCAAACGCCTACTTGAATCTTCACTTAGGATCTTGTACTGCGGTTGTTTGTTTGTTTCTTTGTTTGGTAAGGTTTTTCCATTTATGTTCAAAAAGGATTAGTCTACAATTTCCTCACTCCGTTTGGGGGTCAAGTTTGAATTAGCACTAGTTCCTAACTGCAGACTACCAAGGCATATTTTAAACCTTCGTCATTCACCTCTAAAGCACCTCACTGTTCACCACTGGCTCTCTCTTCAATGTGCTGGTTATTTTTGTGATGACAATGGCAGTGACATCCAGAGTTATCTTTGTAAATGACAAGGCTCCTCATGTGATGCCCCTGCCTCATTGCTTGCAGGATAAACCACAAACACCTTGGGAAGGCATGCATGACCATTTGGAACCTGGGCTCAGCTTTCCTTGTTGTCTCTTCTCTTGCCTTTACCCACACTTTCTGTGCTCTCACCACATAGTAGCCATTGCTTCCTAGCCTACGCAGGCCTCCTGAAAACACCAGGGCTTTCTACATACTGATGCCTCCGCCTGGAGTATATGTATCCACCTGACTTCAGGATTCTAATGACACTGCTCAGCTTCTCCCAGATATTTGGTGTCTGCCCACAGCACTGTATTCATATAACTGAAATAGCTTTGGGGATAAAAATCTAAAATTCTTAACCCAACTCACAAGGGACAGTATGATTTAACTCTGTTTACCTTCTCAGCCTTATCTCCTCTCCCCCTCCCTCCCTGTGCACATAGGTCTTTTCAGAGCTTCTCAAACAAGCCAAGTTCTTCCGCCAGGTCGAACTTCCACTCGTACTGTTTCCAATTCTCCTTCAGAACACCTCATTCGCCAAATGCTACTTCCTCAAGAAAGTCTTTCTAGGCCCCCCTGTTCTACACAACCAGAGCCCTCTTCTTCCTATGAAAGGCTTTAATAGAATTATAATTAAATACCTGGAGAATGAGTTGTTTGATGTCTGCCTGCTCCACTAGATAGAGAGCTCCATGATACCAGGAATTAGACTGAAATGGATCTTTTAGGGGGAAAAAATTTTATGTTAAAGTTTAAATTGTGCATATGTTTAGCATATACATCTCTTTTCATCTGAACCTGTCTATATTTTATTTACACACACATAGAAAGCATTGTATGAATAGCTGTAATATAAAAACTGTTAAATTAAGGGGGGAAATGACAGTTCCATGTTTGGATAAAAGCATTACTAAAACAGGGGCAACAGAAGCCTCATGGTAAGATGATGACTCAAAAGAACGAGTTTAGCAGAAGCTGAAATTTATAGCTGAGAGCGACTATAGAAACATAAGCCACCATCCTCCAAAATTAACAGAATTATTGGATGAGGTATTAAGTATTTCCATCTGTGTAAGGGTGTTTGAATTATAATCAGTCTTCAGTTAATGTCATCAACAGGTTGTGCCTTTAAGTGAACCAATATTAAAAAAACTCACTATTTCAACATAGGCTAACTGATATAACAAGAGTTAAGTTCCTATGGTATCTTATCAACATTATAACTAAAGGACACTGAGGACCTGCAGTAGTTTCATCTAGAGATCTTAAGTAAGAAGATTCCAACAGGCATTTAGTTAGAATTTTATCTGTTTACTTGTTTGTCAATCCACTAGACAGTGAACTCTTTGTGGACTAGTACTGTATAATTCATTTATGATCTCACCCTTGTATCCATTAATTCTGTAAATATGTATTGACTGCCTTCTGAGTGCAGTCAATACATATTTACAGAATTAATGGATATATATTTCACTGTGGAGAATTAAGGATTTAACAACAGATCAGATACAGATGAACAAAATATCCTCAGAACCATATCTAGCTGGTTTGGCTCAGTGGATAGAGTGTCAGCCTTCAGACTGAAGGGTCCCAGGTTCAATTCCAGTCAAGGGCACATGCCTGAGTTGCGGGCTTGATCCAGTAGGGGCGTGCAGGAGGCAGCCAATCAATGATCCTCTCTTATCATTGATGCTTCTATCTCTCTTCCCTCTCCCTTCCTCTCTGAAATCAATAAAAATATATTTTAAAAAATATTCTCAGAACCAGAAACAGATCTGATAAAGTTATTGAGAATGAGATAGAGAGACAAAGATTTGAGAAATACAGAAAATATAAAGATCAGAATGAAAAGGTATAGATGTCTAATAGGAATTCTAAAAGGAATAAACAAAAAAGTTGTGAAAAGATAATGGATGAACATTTTGACGACTAATAAATTATTTGAATCCTTTAAGAAACACAAATCCCTTGCAAGATTAATAAGAAGCCCACATCAAGTTACATTGCAGTGAAATGGCAAAATGCCTAACAAAAACTGTAAGATAATAATGGAAAAATCCATTCTTTTAGCTATGATACCTTCCTTGTTAAAAACTGAACTCCATATTTGAACTTTAGTTCAAATGAACTGAAATGGATAATATGACTGGATAAAAATGATTTTTGGATGACATATTCAAAACTTAAAAATCATACAGGGACTAGAAGAAGTCCTCATTTCTCAGATCCAATATTCGGGTGTCTTTTAATAACTGCAACAGCAAGAGTCTGGATATTTTATTATACTAGAATGACTCATTTTTAAAGATTATGCTCTGGCAACAGAGATTCATTCACTTGCCAATATATCCCCAGGTCTAACTACATCACATATAGAAAAAAAGTAAGGCAGGAGATGCATGAAACTAGCAACCTATCATTTTGTTCACTGCTGAGAAGTGAATTATCAAATAGTGGGCTAATAATTACATCAAAAACAAATATTTGATTGATAACTATCCCTGCCAATTCCTCCACCAATATTTTCCATGAAGGGCTATTGTGTTTTCTGGATCTTCTAAGAATGCTGATTACAGTCGGCTTCTTCAAGGGTCTGATAAGAAGCCAATGTCTCCCTCAGGGTCTGACTGAGAGAGTAATGGGCTGTTAGCACTGGCAGAGTATTCTGAGCTCCAAGAGATACAAAATGTTTGGAAATTGGTCTGATGAGAAAACTGACTTCAGATTTTGGATTACTGTCTTCAGGGATGAGAAGACTAAGTCACCCAGAGAAACTGAAGGTCTCCCTACCTTCTCACTTCAAGGGGTTTCAATAGTATTTTCTATTAACCTTCACAAGAATAACAGAAAGAGACTTCATCTCTTTTGCTCCAATAATTTTTTTAAAAATATTTTTTTTATTGATTTCAGAGAGGAAGGAAGAGGGAGAGATGGAAACATCAATGAGAGAGAATCATTCATTGATCAGCTGCCTCCTGCACGCCTCCTACTGGGGATCGAGCCCACAACCCCAGGCATGTGCCCTTGACCAGAATCGAACCTGGGACCTTTCAGTCCATAGGCCAATGCTCTATCCACTGAGCAAGACCAGCTAGGGATGCAATAATTCTTTTTTAAAATATATTTTTATTGATTTCAGAGAAGAAGAAGAGGGAGAGATAGAAACATAAATGATTAGAGGGAATCATTGATTGGCTATCTCCTGCTTGTGGGGATCAAGCCAGCACCCTGGGCATGTGCTCTGATCTGGAATAGAACTAAGACCTCCCAGTTCATAGGTCAAGGCTTAACCATTAAGCCACACCAACTGGGCTCCAAGAATTCTTTATTCTTTGCCAGTACAGACATCCACTCCCCAGAAACTTGGCTTCACCTGGAACTGCTTCTTTGAAATAATAAATCCAAAATCCCTGTTCCTCCAGGTCCATGCTCAGGCTAATCCTTGTACGAAATCAGGATCTGAGTCCCTTGACTTCTACACTCTCTGCCTACCTGTCCTTTTCTTTCTTCATTTTGACTTGGTGAGAAACAGTCTGCCACCCAATACACCTTTTTTAGTGTATTGATTTTTTAAGCTGGTCATTTTTTTAAGAAACAAAAGACTCCAGAAGAATCTTTGACCTTCCCCCCCCCTAAATACCAAAAAAAATTTAGTAGAGGACCTGCTCCAGGAAGAGAGATATTATTATAGATAACTATAGTTTAATCTGAATTAAGGGTGATAGACAGATAAGAACCTAGCCAAGTCTTTAATCAAAGTCCTCTCTGTGTCCCATTGTTAAAGATGGTCCAACAAACAGGTGTTTACCAAACATTTGCTTTTCATCTCCATGTGAATTGCCTTCTCCTTTGAAGCCTCAAACCACAACCCTAACCACCTCCTGAAGGCCTCCTCCCCTACTCCAGAATGGCATATAAACCTCAACTGCCCAATTTGTCTTTGGGTCCCACATTCTTAAGGAATTCCATAAGTACATACCTAAAACTGTGGTCATTCTCTCCTGTTAATCGTTCTCATACCAATTTGATTATTAGACCAGCCAGAATAACTTAAAAGGGTAGAATAATGTTAACCATTATCAAATATTCTCAACTCAGCTGAAACCGGTTTGGCTCAATGGATAGAGCGTCAGCCTGCAGACTGAAGGGTCCCGGGTTCGATTCTGGTCAAGGGCACATACCTTGGTTGCGGGTACATCCCCAGTAGGGGGTGTGCAAGAGGCAACTGATCGATGATTCTCTCTCATCGATGTTTCTAACTCTCTATCCCTCTCTCTTCCTCTCTGTAAAAAATCAATAAAATATATTTTTTAAAAATCAATAAAATATATTTAAAAAATACTTTTAAAATATTCTTAACTCAATTATCCCTATTTAGAGAAGATAATCCAATGAGATCGTGTAAGTAAAGCACTGGTGAGAGAAGTGCTCAGCAAATGGTAACTAACACCACTGCCTTCACCACCACCAGCATACATAACATTCCCTTACTCCTCTGTCATTCTATCAAACCAGCCTGTAGGTACTCAACCTGGGTTGTTAAACATTATTGGAGAAAACCACTATATTGTGCAGACAGATGATGGTGTATTATACTTCCAACCTTCAGTATCAAACCATTCTAATTCGTTTTTGAATTTTGAGACTACTCTAAACCTCCCTCAATCTCCTACCCATTCTCCTTGCTTCACAGAAAACAAAATACAAAACAACAACACCACCCCCCCCACCACACACACACACACACACACACACACACACACATACCAAAAAGAGGAACCATTGGAAAGAACTTCTACAACTTACAGCTACCAAATCTATAAACCTTTCTGAATTTGCACCTCCCTTCCTTGCTTTTCTCCTCCGGCTCTGGAAGTAAACTGGATAACTACGAAGGGCCAGACTCCACATTCTCTTCCATTCTCTGTCATCTTCACTCTCCTATCTTCAACCTCTCTCTCCACTGGCTACTTCTAGTCAATATTTAAACATTTAAATATAGCCCACCTTCAAAATTTCCTTTTTTTATTTTAGCTAACTCCTTATCTCTTTCTTGTTCTTCTTTAAGTTTTTTTAAAAAATATTCTATTGATTTTGAAAGAGAGGAAGGGAGGATAGAGAAATAGAAATATCAATGAGAAACATCATCGATCCACTGCGCCTGCATGTTGCCTACTGAGGATCTAGCCCAAAACCTGGGTGTGTTCCCTGACCTGGAATCAAACCAGTGACTTCTTGGTTCCTGGGTCAATGCTCACCATTGAGCAACACCAGTCAAGTCCCTCCCACCCCCCAAGTTTTTTAAAAACACAATCCACATTTGCTATCTCTATTTGTTTACTAGTTCTTCCATTTTTCCATTGTCATTGTAATCTGGTTTCCATTCCTACACTCCACTGAAATTATTCTTTTTATATATATATATATTGATATGTATTTATTGATTTCAGAGATAAAGGGAGAGGAAGAGATCAAAACATCAATGATGAGAATCATTGATCAGCTGCCTCCTTCACGCAACTGGGGATCAAGCCCACAACCTGGGGATCCAGCCCACAACACGGGCATGTGCTCTGACCAGGAATTGAACCGTGACTTCTTGATCAATGCTCAATCTCTAGCTATGCTGGCTGGGCCACTGAAACTCTTCTTAGCTGTCTTATCAGTAATTCCAAGGAACCCTTCTCAGTTCTCATTCCAGTTGACCCATCAGGACCTTTTGTGGGGTTAATCACTTCTTCCATCTGAAACACTGTTCACAGGAATGCCACTTTCCTAAACCTCCTCCTACCGCTCCCACTGCTTCTTGGGCACTCTTCATGGTCTCTCTCCTTTTTCTCTCTCAAGCCCTGAGTTCCTCAGTGTTTGGTCAAGGACTCTATTCTTTTCATGCTTTTACATTAATTAAACAAGGAGATCATTAGACAGAGGTGGCACTAATGCTTTGGCAGCCTACTTAAGCAAACCAAAACCTAGGTGTGGCTCAAGGTTATGAAATCTAAATACAAGGACAATCACAAACAGCCCACTAGGCTTAAAGCTGTAGCCAATCAAATAGTTTCCTTTATTGGCTTCAACACCTCTACTGTCTTTGCCCTAGCTGGCTCATGTCACTCCAGGTTTGGCACTGCCCAACTGGAATCAACTGCTGCTCAGATAGACCCTGGTCGGGTAGCTAAATTGGTGAGAGAATTGTCCCAACACACTAGGGATGTGGATTCAATCTCTGGCGAGGGCACATGTAAGAGTCAACTAATGAATGCATCAAGAAATGGAGCAACACAACAACTCCATGTTTTTCTACCTCTCTCCCCTTCTTCTCAAATCAATTAATACAAATTTAAAAAAGATTGTTGCTCAATAAACTCTTCAAAATTTTAATATGCCTGTTTAACAATACTCTGCATCTCATTGCTTCCAATTCGTGCATATGCTAATCCCAGTTTAGATCACCCTCCTCATCCATTATGTCAAAATACTTAACCAGCCGAAACCGGTTTGGCTCAATGGATAGAGCGTCGGCTTGGGGACTGAAGGGTCCCGGGTTCGATTCCGATCAAGGGCATGTACCTTGGTTGCGGGCATATCCCCAGTAGGGGGTGTGCAAGAGGCGGCTGGTCGAAGACTCTCTCTCATCGACGTTTCTAACTCTCTATCTCTCTCCCTTCCTCTCTGTACAAAATCAATAAAAAATATATTAAAAAAAAATACTTAACCATCCCTTAGGCATTCTACCTCCAAAGCTGTTTCTGCCGGGTCCTCTCAGGAAAAGGCTTCCCTCTTTGCCTGGCTTCCGAAGCCAGAACTCCTGTCTCTTCCCTCTACCTAACCCCTAATGTTCAAACCGCCATCAAGCCCAGGCCTTCCTATTTGCTGAAATGGCTCTCAAATCATCTCAATTGACATCCAGGCTATCGTGTCACATCTGAAGATGTCTGCCAGTACCCAACCTGGTCTGTTCTAAATCCTTCTCATTCAGAGTGATTCTTCAAAAAATGTAAATATCATACCATCCCTACGACTAAAATCTTCCAGACATTCTTGTTGCCTGTAGGAAAATGCTCTAAAAAAAATCCCTAACAGTTCCTCAGCGGCCTCAATTCTCCACTCCCTTCCCTTGCCATTCTGGACTATTCTGAATTCCTAGAGTGAGTGCAAACTTGAGGCCACAGAGCTGTCCCCTTGGATCAAACATAGAGTTCTCCCTTCTTTTCCTAACCATCTCTGCATTAACCCTTCCATCCAATATATGTATCCGCTCTACTAACGGACCTGACACCCCCAAACCTCACCCCACTCCACCCCAGTTTGAACACCTCTTCGGGTGTTCCCCGAGGCATCCCGTACTTATCTAGCAATTACCAGTATTGTGTTGTAATTGCTTATTCCCTGGGCTATAGCTCTGCCTGACTGACTAGATCCCTGCAGGGCAGACACCTGGATCTCTTTAGTTCCATCTTAAAGGTCAAATAGAAGCATTTGGCACACCCCGTAGTCCAAGGACTATTTGTTGAATGAATAACTAGTCCCTTCTTTGGTATGAGGGTGGCTGACGATGAGGGTTTCAAGGGGTCAGAATAAACCAAAAAAATAACCCCAAAAAACACACCTATAAGTAATCACGTCGGGGGAACGCGGCGCGGAAGACAGCCCGCTGCCTGGCCCCTGCGGCTCCGGGGAGGCCGGGGAGGCGGCGGCGGCGGGAGGGAGCGCGCAGCCCCGGCCCGAAGGGACAACAATGGCTTGGAACTCGGCCTCGCGCTTCCGGTGGGGCGGCCGGGCGCTCCGCCGGTGAAGCCCGAGGCAGGGTGGGGGCTCCGAGCCGGGCCCACCGGAGGAAGGCGCGGCCCCCCGCCCCGGCTCCCGCCCAGGAGCCGCCACCGTCCCCTCCGCCCCCTCGGCCGTCGCCCCGCCCCGGAAGTGACTTGCGGCGCGTCCGGAAGCTCCGTCCGGCGGCTGCAGCGTCACCAGCCGAGCCGGTGCGGGCCGAGCAGAGCGGCCGCTGCCGCGCCGCCAACGAACCGGGAGCGCGCGCGCGGGGCCAGCAGGCGCGCCGGCCGGGCGAGGGGGCCCAGCGGTCGGGGCCGAGGGGCGACGGGCCGCCGGCGGCCGCAGGGCGACGACGACGCCGCCGCCGCCGCGGAGGAGGCGGAGCCCGGAGAGGGGTGGGGGCCCGGGAGGGCGCGGGCGGGCCGAGGGGGCGGGCGGCGGGTGTCCCCCCGGCTCATGGAGCCGGCGGAGCTGGCGGGCGGCGGAGACCCCCCGGAGCCGGGCGGGCGCCCCGGCCCGGGCCCGCCGCGGTGCTTCGTCCCGCAGAAGGAGATCGTCTACAACAAACTGCTGCCCTACGCCGAGCGCCTGGACGCCGAGTCCGACCTGCAGCTGGCCCAGATCAAAAGCAACCTGGGCCGGGCCGTGCAGCTGCAGGAGCTGTGGCCCGGGGGCCTCTTCTGGACCCGGAAACTCTCCACGTAAGTGCGGCCGGGCCTGCGGGGTGGGCGAGGGGCCGGGGCTCGGGCAGGGCGGCGGCGGCGGCGGCGGCGGCTCTTTGTCCGCTCCCGGTGGCTGCTGGCTGGACCAGCTCTGCGGGGAGCTCTGGAGCTTGTGTGTGTGTGTGTGTGGGGGGGTGTCCCCCCCTGCCATCGCCACCGCAGCCCGGGACAGCCACTCGGCCCTCCTCCCGGCCACTTTCCTGCGGGACGACTCACCAGCTTCGTTCTCACCATCTCTCCTCGTCTCGTCCTTCCCTGCCTGCTTTCCGCCCTCCCTGCGGGGGTCCCCGGGGAAAGGGAGCAGCGGGTCCCCCAAGGGTGTTTGCTCCTCGGACTTGTGCTCCCTCCTCCTGTGTGGGAAGGGGTGCAAGGAGGACTCGTCCTTGGGGGGTGGGGGGTGCAGCTCTTTGACTTCTCGATCCTCCGGTTGTTTCTTCCCCTCCCTCCCCCCGTGATCCCCGCCGCTTCCTAGCTCTGCTTTCGCGTCTGGTCACTTTCTGAATGGGAAGGAGGCCGAAGGGAACTTCTAGTTCTACTTTTTTTTGGGGGGGAGGGGGGGTGCTTGATCTCTGTGGGTTTGGTGGGAAAGACTGGTTTAACACCAGTCCTCTTGGCACACTTGTGGGCTGTCTCCTGGACGTTGGTGTTGAGAATGGCGAGGCTCGGGACTTGGGGGGAGTTGTCTCTTGCTCCTGCTTGGGAATGGACGATGCTGATGAGCAAGGTAGATGGAGGAGAGAGCTGTCAGGCTGTCCCGGAAGGAAGGCACTGCGAGATCAGGCGTGTGTGAATGCCGAGTCGCTGAGAAGATTGATTGCCGAAATCAGTTTCAGGAGTTCTTTTGTTACTTTTTATTTGTTTCTTTTTTTGGCATCACCTGGCTGCGACCTAAGAGTGCAAGCAAATTAGGGGAACACGGGTAAAAGACAGTTGCTGGAGGCAGGTTAGAGACTTGTATTTGCTAGGTGGGCGTCTTCACTGTGGCAGAAAGAGTTTTTTGTTTTTTTTTTTTTTTTTTTTTTTTTTTTAAGGGATTTGGCTGCGTCTTGTTTAGTTAACTGGACACGAAATCTGGTAACCATTGCGTGTTCGTGCATTGGGGGGTGTGAATGGTGGAGCACATAAGACATGTCACTTATCCGCTGTTTATCCAAATCTGCTGAGTGAACTGGGTAATGACTCAGGGTTTTGTAATGAAGTAGTTTTTTACATTTCCTCCCAGGATTCTGACTGTGGTTAGGGAGTCTCTGACAAATTTCTCCCATCCACTTCAAGTGGTTGTGGTGGTGGTGGTGGTGGTGGGCGTAATTACCTTTTTAATTAAAAAGCAAAAAATAAAACACTTAAGTTGCTCTTTTCAAAGAGTGACCATAAAATGTCAAGGTTAACAGCTCTCATTTTGCTTGGAAAGTCAAGTTTATGATGTTCAGATCCATGGGGGGTGGGGGGGGCGGGAGGAGGGGATGGGGGCGGGGGCCCAACTTGGAGAAGAACCACTTTTAGTCAAAATAGAATGCTTTATAAATTATTAGAATTAATGTGATTTTTCAAGTGCGCCTCCTAGCTGTTTGTGACTCAGGCACAGTAAAAATCGTTACTCTGTCAGTTGCAGTAATTCCTCACTTGAATCACTCGGATTAGATTTGCCAGAGAAGAACCATTTGGGGTACACAAACAACTCCTTTTAAATGCACAGTATATAAATATATCACTGTGTGAATGCATGTCTAATTTGGATTTCTGAATCTAGAACCTACACACGCATAGTGAAGCATTGTTTTCTGACATTTACTGTTACTAAACTTGGCAAATTATCACCTAAGGTTTTATTATTTTTGGCTTATTTAGGTATAAGTAGCTTTTGCCTAGGAAAGGCTAGAAATACATCCGACACAGTCCTTGGTGTTTAGGGCAAGATTGCAATTATATGGCTTAATAACCTATGAACCTGAAACGGTTTATATCTAAATTACCAGCAAGAAATGCTATCAGAATTTTATTTTGGGACAGTGGTTAAATGGTGAAAACTGATTCTTGGGATTTCACTATGAGACATTTTGAACTTGGTGGGACATGTGATCTTGGGTGAATTTCCCCCCCCTCTTAAGTCATGTTAAAGGTGACCTGTTTATATCGGTGCTTGTTTATTAAGCCTTGTATGTGTTGCACAAGTTTACATCTAAATGATGCCAGAACATGTGACACAGCTGAGTAGTGATCATATTTAATACTTTGTAGAAGAGTGGAAAGTAGTAATGAAAATAAAATTAATTTCTCCCACTAGCTCTGTGACTATGCAAAGTTATTTTAATCATGTGTTTCAGTATTCTTGGAAGAATTAAATAATTCCTGAGAAACAGTGCTCTGTAACTTTATGATATTTTTTATCTGAAGGGAACTTCTACGTTCTACTTTTTGGGGCCTGCACAATCTTTGTGGATTGATTGAAAAGATTGGTTTAAAAATCTTGTTAAAGGCTTATCCTGTAGAGCTTCAAATAAGCCAGTGTGTATCTTACTCCAAGGGCAGTGAGCAGTTTGTATCAAGTACCTTCCTGAAGAAGATCTGAATGTCAGTGCTGTTCAGAGGCACTGGGAGTGGGTCCCTAACCAGAGTGTACACCCCTAATCTAGCCATCACAGGCCTGGGTGGGGCGGAGTTCTGGTATGAGAGGCACTCAGGCTCTCCTTTTTTTTTTTTTTTTTTTTTTTTTTTTACTTTTTACCTCATTTTAGTGGTTGTTGTAATTCTGTTTCAGTCCATTTCAAGACTTCTGGGTCTGTTTAGCATCTCAGAAAGCTTCTGTGTATTTAAAAATTGGTCCTGTAATATGACACAACTCCTTGTATACAGTTTAAAGTATCAGAACCTGTTGAAGAGAGATCATGTAGCATAACCTGTCACAGGGCCATTTTCTAAGAAGTGAGGAAACAGAGAAGCACACACTAGTTTGGTGGTCTTTGGAGAACATAGGAAAGATAGCTCGGACGCTGAGTGGAAGGTATTGATGATTCCTGGTATGGCCAGTGTAGAGAATGGAATTGAAGAAAGGTAAGCTTGAAACTTGCCTTTTTCCCCTTGCCCTTCTGGACCTTTCATGAGAGACTCTAAGGTCTAGTCCTAAGACCTCAGGTTATCTGTACCGGCTTTGCCACCAACATTATCTCAGTCTTGCCTCACCTCGTTTAGCTTTAGAGTCCTCTTTTGGAAAATGGGAGTTTAGACTACTAGTGATGTTTCAAACTTAATATCTAGCAGTTGTCTTAAGCAAAATCTTAAGCACAGATTTGGATTCCTCAGGCCAAATAAAACCACACTGATTTTTTCTTTTCTTTGTAACCCTTCATTGAACCCCTGGTGTCTACTTAGAGCACCAAAACATACTGTTTGAAAAGAAAGAAAAGTAAAAATCACTGGACTAGTCTCTAAGGGCCTTTCCAGCTAGCTCTCTGTTACTTTCATTTGACCTGAAGGAAGGGCAAAAGGAGGAACAATTAGTGAATGGGCTACTATTTCCTACAAGCTTACTCCATTCATGATTGGTTCTTTCTTTCACAGAAGTTTTATTTTAGTGAAGTGGGCTTGGTGTATTATGAAGCAAATTTAGATGTCTTGTTTGTTATAATAAAATGTTATGTTCGCTGTTTTACAATGAAATTACTGTATTATACTGAGGAATCATTTCATTTGTTAATGAAACTAGTTCCCTTGTTTTATTATTAAGAACAGTCTGTAGTCTTCCTCCTGGACAGGAATTGGATTGTCCCATTTGAAACCACATAATGTATTACATTTAGTCAAGATATGAGTTATCAAATAAACTGACTGCCTCTTGTGGAAAGTAATAATGTGAACACTGGAGTGCCCAAGTTCATACTATCTCTGTTGGGGAAGAAAGTAGAAATGCTATCCACTGAATCTCAGTTGCCTAGTAACATGCTGTACTTAATAGGGTATCTAATGTTTGAGTATTGAAATTACAATAAATACAAACGCTTTTTTGTTGTAAAAGAATCTTGAGATCTTGACAGATTACCATATTTGTCAGGGAGAAACAGTTGGAGAAAGTAGTAGAAAAGATTTGTTTTTATTAAATGGCCACACTCCAAATGGGAACCAAAATTTCTTTGTAGTGAGAAAGCTGTTTTTCCAAAGAAAAGAACAAAATAAGTGAATTAGTGATTTTTGGGGACATGAATTTTTCTGATAAAGTTGTCTAATAATACACACAATGAGTATCTTTCACATAGATTTTTTTAAAATTAACACTATTTTTTAATTTTTTAAAAATGCTCTCTGGAGGATATTTTTCCATTGATTTTTAGAGAGTAGGAGAGGGAGAGATGTTGAGAGAGAAAAACATGTATGTGAGAGAGACGTGTTAATTGGTTGGCATACCCCCTATC